GGTGGTAGGATCAGACTTAATAGCTAGCCATGGTCCTCTCCAGCCAGTCGTTGAAGATGCAGACCTTTGAAAAGAGACAAAACTAGGATGGTTTGTTACATGGACAGATGGCAACAAGCATGATTCATATGGCTATATTGTTGGTCTAAATAATATATAGTTTTACCTTGGCGTAAACACCAGGTGGTTCTTTCTCAGCACATCCGTAGCCCCAGGACACAACACACCTGCAGCTCACCGTTGCACACCAACGGGGCCACCAGAGTCACCCTGAGAGAGAGAGAGAGAGAGAGAGAGAGAGAGAATAAGACAATTAAAAAAAAAAAAAAAAAAAAAAAATTAAAAAAAACAAGGAACAAGGACTCTGCAGATTCCTCTTGTTTACATACCTGGCAAGAGTCCTTGCCTCCCTCCAGGTATCCAGCGCAGAACATGGCATCAGTGATCATGCCAGGGATGGAGTTATCACAGTCCTTATCGGACAGGATGGGGAGGTCCAGGCACTGCAGCTTGTTGCTGTCAGCAGCTAAAAGTAGGGTGAAAAAGGTTTCAAATAACACAAATGAAAAAAAAAAACATGTAGCCTAGCAGTTAAAATGCAGGTGTAACTTACAGGAGCTCAGGTGTTGCCCCAGCCAAGACTTTGCACATGGTGCCAGCGGGGGCACAGCTGGTGGGCAGAGCCACAGGCTGCACATACTGGTTGAGGGTGGGGGCTTTGCTCAGTTTTGATCAGCATGATGTCATTGTTGATGTTGTAGGAGCTGTATTGGGGTGGCGGATGACACGGGAGGAGCTGATGAATGCTCGGTTCCCTCATTGACCTGATGTTGTGCTCGCCCATACGCACCTCCACACGGCTGGAGTAGAACGAGAGGATGTTTGGGAGCTGAATTTTCATGATGCGAGTTAAAAGCACATTAATTCTTGAAAAACCTTTTGTCTTTGTAATATTAAGGAGTGACATACGACTTGTAGCAGTGAGCAGCAGACACAACCCAGTTCTCGTTGACCAGGGAGCCTCCACAGAAGTGGTAGCCAGAGTTCAGAGACACTGATGGGGCTGGGAGTAGGGTGTGCATTCATACCCTCCGACGATCTTGTTCGTCCTCTGTGGCAACTGAAAACACACAGGAGGCCGAACAGTCAGGAACCAAGTGAATGTTTTTATAATTCACTTATTAAAATCAAGTACAAGCAGAAAGACATATGCTTACAGGCAGCTCCGATGAGCAGAAACAAAAACCAGAGACCTCATGGTTTGCTGTGTGATCCTGTTTGATGAGAGACTTCACCTGAGCCCTGGTTTAATATACAGAGGTACCTCTCCTTTTCCCTGCTGAACACTCCACCCCACAACCAACAATGTATTTGCTTTGCCTGTAGCCAGAATTATTTTTTTCCAGGATCCTGATTGGTCAAAAATAACAGTGGGAGGAGTGTTCAGCAGGGAAAAGGAGAGGTACCTCTGTATATAAACCAGGGCTCCAGGTGAAGTCTCTCATCAACAGGATCACACAGCAACCATGAGGTCTCTGGTTTTTGTTCTGCTCATCGGAGCTGCCTGTAAGCATATGTCTTTCTGCTTGTACTTGATTTTAATAAGTGAAATTATAAAAACATTCACTTGGTTCCTGACTGTTCGGCCTCCTGTGTGTTTTTCAGTTGCCACAGAGGACACAAGATCGTCGGAGGGTATGAATGCACACCCTACTCCCAGCCCCATCAGGTGTCTCTGAACTCTGGCTACAACTTCTGTGGAGGCTCCCTGGTCAACGAGAACCTGGGTTGTGTCTGCTGCTCACTGCTACAAGTCGTATGTCCACTCCTTAATATTACAAAGACAAAAAGGTTTTTCAAGAATTAATGTGCTTTTAACTCGCATCATGAAATTCAGCTCCCAAACATCCTCTCGTTCTACTCCAGCCGTGTGGAGGTGCGTATGGGCGAGCACAACATCAGGGTCAATGAGGGAACCGAGCAGTTCATCAGCTCCTCCCGTGTCATCCGCCACCCCAACTACAGCTCCTAACAACATCAACAATGAACATCATGCTGATCAAAACTGAGCAAGCCCGCCACACCTCAACCAGTATGTGCAGGCCTGTGGCTCTGCCCACCAGCTGTGCCCCCGCTGGCACCATGTGCAAAGTCTCTGGCTGGGGCAACACCATGAAGCTTCCTGTAGTTACACCTGCATTTTAACTGCTAGGGCTACATGTTTTTTTTCATTTGTGTTATTGAAACCTTTTTCACCCTTACTTTTAGCTGCTGACAGCAACAAGCTGCAGTGCCTGGACCTCCCCATCCTGTCCGATAAGGACTGTGATAACTCCTACCCTGGCATGATCACTGATGCCATGTTTCTGCGCTGGATACCTGGAGGGAGGGCAAGGACTCTTGCAGGTATGTAACAAGAGGAATCTGCAGAAGGTCCTTGTTCCTTGTTTTTTTTTAATTTTTTTTTTTTTTTTTTTAATTGTTGCTTATTTACTTGACCTGCTGTTACCACTTAGTAGTAGGGCTAAGTGTTAGCCTCACAAGTCTTGAGTGACGATTTAAAAATTAGATTTTGAAGCAGTTTACAGTGTAGTATAGCTCATGTACATTCGTTGTATTCATAACTACAGTAATTGTGATTGAAAATGTGTTTAACAAATAATCCTACTGTGATTAAATTGTACAGAGACCATGGTTTTTCCAAATTTACCATATGCCTCATATTGAATCTAACAGGACACTGGTGAACTAGTGTTTTTAGTGTCATTAAAATTGACAGAACACCCATAAGTAAAGCATAAACTCAGATATTTATCTTTAGATCCTTAA